GTTTTTCATGTCTCCTCAAAGACTGAAAGTGTAGGAATCCCTCAGGTTGAGTGCAGTGTAGAGAGTAACACGACCCTCCTCCTCCTGTTGGTGCGAACGAGCGGTCAGTCACGTGTGTGTGTAGGATGGCCGAACTTAAAGAGCTTCCCCTGGAACTTACGCGATTGGCAACCGGCCGTTTTTTGTCTTATTGCAAGCAACTCGTCTCTGTTTTGGACGTGCACAAACTGCGCTGCAATGCAATCGTTTTCCAAAATGTCATTTATGTGAAAATATGAAGTCTGTAAACGCCCGTTAACACAGGCCAGAGACATTGAAGACGGACGCACAGAGAAAAATACTGTAGTGCAGATCACTCACTGTTCATGATGCACGAACTATTGGAAGAAAATCCTCAATATTGATTTGGGGGTTTATATGAGTGTGTTTCTGAGGGGAACTGACTGTCTTCAGAAAAGTTTATTTGGTATTTTCTTTTAATCTCGTCTCTGTATAGTATCATATTAAAGCAGTGTTTCAGCACAGTGCTGCTTTGTTTATGGCGGTAACCAAGGAAACACTGTTTCTGGTGTTCCAGAAGCGCCTCCTGCTGTCAGAGAGTGAATCTGCATCTCATTCAGAGCTTCTGCTGTCTGCTTCGTTCAGGCATGTAGTATAATTTCACAAAGCTAGTCAGAACAGAACATTCTGTTTTTGCTTCAAATTGGGTTATTATTAAATCAAATTATGTATATGAAATTATATAACTAAATGATATAAATGATATGTATATGAATTATATAACAAATTAAATAACTGTAATTACAGATTTAGGTTAAATAAAGATGTCAGTCTTTATTTTTCTTCTTTTTAGGAAACAAATCAAAGAAAAAATAACCAAATTCTACTGTTCCGAATAGTCTGTATGTTGCTCAAGAAGAAAATATATTGTGTTCAGCAGAAAAAAAGTTGGTTTTTTTTACCCAGTCATTTAAAAATAACACATTTTAGAGCTGTAACAACAATACAGTGATACCGTGAAACCGTGATATTTTAGCTTAAGGTTATCATACGGTCAAAATCTCACACCGGCCCATGCCTACTCTCACTGTTGATCATTTAATGCATTCTTGTGGCATAAAAGTATGAATTTCCTTCAAATAAATAAATAAATATAAATCTTACTAACTCCAGACTTGTGAACAGCAGTGTACTTCTATTTTAACCAGGCTCCTCTGATGGATAATGTGCAGTTGTTCTGTGGGAAAGGCCAGTTTCTTTCAGCATTCTACAAATTCTTGCTCATTTTCGTTTGGAAAATGTAACATCTCTGCTTGTACAGTTCTATTACAATGAATGTGTGTGTAGAGGCTTTCTTAATTTCACATGTTGGACCGCAGTCCTAGTTAAACAGCCCGTCAGTAGTCGCCAATGAAAACAGACTAGCAGCGGTGGGATTTGACTAGCTAGCCTCACAGTGCTGATGGGATGTCAGCTTTTACAATGATCTAACGGTGATCCATTTCCCTGAGGGCTAAACTTTCCAGTCAAGAGAGATGCTGTAAATTGCCCTCGGATTAGATTTCAAATCCCTATTGTTTTAAAAGTTACTAGCGCAGGTTCTTCCTCTATAAGACTTCCTGACTTTTTTATGGTTTCTCGCCAGGCTCACCAGGTACAAAAGCAGCCGGTTTACTCCTGTCTCCTCTTATTACAAATCCCTGACCTGAAAATGGGACCTGAAGAGCTCACATCAATGCTTTGGAGGAGAAATCCACACTCATCTGGTGTCTATGCTGAAGCTGAGGACTCTATTGGCTAATGCTAGCTAGAGGTTAGCTTAGTTCGGGTTTCATTAGCCATGGTTGTCAAGACCTGTGTATAAACAATGGTACTCAACAGACATTACATAGCAATAGAAATATTTCATTTTGTGCTATAGTTCAGTGAGTAACACCTTTAAATGTACTTCCATTTAATTGAATTAAATTTTATTTAACAGAGCACAACAACTATATATAATATATAACATTTTTTAATTATTGTTTTATATATATATATATATATATATATATATATATAA